GTGGAGGAAATGGGACGCCAAACCACAGAACTTCCATCCAGCCGCCTAGAGTGGTCGTATAGACCAGATGGGCGGGATACAAATCAAATAAATAAATAAGTGGTTGCTCAGAGGCTGAGCCCAGAGGAGGTGGGGCCAGAAAGCTGAGGTGCTGCCTCCAAGTGAGTGCCCACCAGTAGAAATCCAAATCAATCAATCAATCAATCAAGCAAGCAAGCAAGCAAGCAAGCATTCAATAAGCACTTGAAGGAAAAGGTAAGAAAGGGACAGCATATTCAGAAAGCAAATGGCAAGCATCAGCAGGTTTCAGGAGAAGGAAGGCAAGTTTAAGTTAATCAATTCGAGGAATCTCTTAAGGGCAAGAGAAGTAGCCCATGCAGTAGTGTTAAGTAGCCTAAGGTGACTCTGGATGCTTCTGAAGAACTGCCAGAGAGGCAGGGCCATTTTTTAAGTGGACAATCTCCTAGCATAGGCCTTCTGGCAGTTATAGGATTAGAAGCTGTTTTCTTGGCACACTGCATATTCACTTGTAGGATGTTTAAGCTCTACGCTGGTATAAATAGCTCATTTAAAACTTTTTCCGGGAACCTACCCAGCATGAGTTTATGTGGGTGATTGGATTGGCTGGTGCTTTATAACCACAGGAAAAATTCAGCTTTTAAAAATCTGTTTTCAAAAAAAGATTTCTTAGACAAATCTTTAGCCTTATTTGTAGCTTAAGACTCATTAAGAAGATTATTCCCAAAAACTGTGAAAGCTTCTATAACGGATTGGCAGCTTCCCATTAACCATTACCTTGTCTTCTGTATTTCCATACCGGCCAGACACAACTAGGGTCATAATACCTACAAGATTGATTTCATTGGAATTAATCACATCAAAACAAATGCACCCACACTTAATGTTTGAAGTGATTTCTCTCTGGAGCTACTCAGCCCTACAAATGTCCCACACAGTGGTGTCAGAAGCTCAGCAGTCACTGCTAATCAGTATGTTAGGACACAACTGCTTGAGAATTTGGAATGGCAATGTGCAAATGTGGTCATTTCAAATGTCAAGCTGGTGTGCACCTAAGATATCAGAAGTGCCCACTAAAAATGCACAGTGTGTAGGTAACGTCCACTACCAAAAGTGCTGCTGATTGTCACATGATCCTTATGACTATGTAAGGGCCAGGCTTCTCCCTGAACTTTCCAAAA